TACACACACTTCACGAGTTACGTCAATTACTGTTGTGATGCTCAGTAACGACAGTGGTCATTTTGCACGAGAACTTGTTTCGGCATTCATCAGTTTCTGTGATCATGGAACGTTTGATCGTTTAATGAAGAAAAGGGGATAGAAAATGAGAATTAGTTCGGAAAGGTGTTTTTTCTTAATGCATTGAGCTTCAATAATAATCACGCCACATATTTTTTATTTGAAGATTTATAAATAGAAGAGAAATTCATATCGGACCGAATTGTTCAAGATGCCAATGCCGTTTACTAAAGTTGTGGTCTCAGTTACCCCAGCCTTGCGTTGAAGAAACCCAAAAGGGCCAGAATGGTCATGCAGAATTTCTCCTCCAGAATGTACTTTAAAATTGAATTTTTGTCGGCGTACAAGGTAAAAGTACACGGCGCCTGTAGGCGCAGGTCGACGCACCTGACCGATGAAGTGTTCAAGGTCACTGCTGCACCTTCTGCAGTCAAGTGAAGGCGGCGCCTTTGACATAAGTAGTCAAGAGGCTTGTCCACGCAGTGACTCCTACTTACGCATCTCTCTTGACAAGCCATTAATCAAATTACGACGCAAGGAGAGAGAGACGTCTTTGAGAGCACGAGACTGCCGCTCACAAGGCTTCACCTAGGAAGCCTTTGAAGTCAGGTGATTTTAACGACGTCACAACAGGCCTATAGAACTGTCCCACTAGCTCCATGGGGGCTAATGATTAAAACGGGATGTACCAACTTAAGATAGAGCACGGTACTAATTTGGAACACTATGACCTCGCATGTAAAATTTTCACTAGTTTTGGTTGACTTACGACATACTTTACCGTTTTTTGATGTTTAAAAATGATGACTGAATAGGCAAATTCGAGCTAGCTCTTTCTACTCGTATCTTTATGTTTCTGGGGCTTTAATACTGATTTTGTTGAAATATTTTAGACCTGATATTAATTAGCTGTCTTGCTTGAATATGGTACCTGTCCAGCCAGTTTTTCTGAACATCAAAGAACATCGTTAAGGGACCGCTCCGTATGTTTTTACTTGGTGGCCACTTTGTTTTAATCGGCGTTTTTTAGACAAAAGGGATCAGGAATGGACATGATGTTTTAAGGGTCATCATAGTACAACAACATCACATATGAAATCTAACTAAAGCACTTCATCGGCCTGTTTCCTCTTTTGAAACGCTGCCTGATTTAGAACATTCAGGATGGCGCAGATTTACAAATAAATGGAACTAAGTTTTGTTATATAAAGTTACAGCAAATGTTCAAAATGTAAACCTCGCTCATGACTCTTGAGTAAACCTTGTTTATATCGCCTTGAAAGGGCAAAAACATGTACTTGTTTTAACAAATTTTGAATTTATTATCGCCTTTTGCATTCGAAATATGGCCTTCACACGACGCACTTTAAAGTTATAGAACGTTTTCATGCTGTTAAAAATTATTATTCATCGGGCAAAAAGTATAAAGAAGTTAGGGATCATTGGAAAGAATCGTCTGATACGCCACCTCCGTCAAAATCGACTGTCTAAGAAATGGTGCAGAAATTTGGACGAACCGCCCATACTGTGAACTCTGACAAATCTGGCACGACGCGGGTTTTTGAGCCGATGTACAGTAAGTAACCAATTCATCCATTGAGCGGCGTCGCAACTCTACTGCAAATAATTGTTTGCATTTTTTAAATATTTGTTAACACTTCGTATAATGAACTTTTTTGCAACTTATTTGCAAATTTTTATAACGACTGGGGTCCAGTTTCATCCAGTTTCTGAGTATCATAGATGTCGCTAACCAAAGTAGAAGGATAATTTGTAGTAACCGAGACCAGTGACAAACGGATCAATGAAAATAGGTTCTGCTCATGGTGTGATTTTACAGTCAATTTCACCGAAATTCTGTTTGAGATCAGTCAATTAGAAGGCTAATAATAAAAGAAAACCCAAGTGTCCCACCATATTACATGAACTAGAGACAAATATGAAGACTTACGTTCCTGCAAAGAGAAAGAATATACGATTGTCAGGGCGATTGTTGTGTCTGTCTGAACTTTCAGACCCGTACAGACTCACATCGTCCAAGAAAATGGACTTTCAATAACAAATATGCAACCTCTGTCCGTTTTCTCACCCTGAATCGATCGCGTGTGTCCTTAGGCTGGAACGAGGTCATGGTATACGGCGCTGTGTGCGCAGTACATGGTATTCAGGGGAAAAGCCGATATACTGCTCTGCATGGTTGTTGGCCTCCAGCAGTTCTTGCCCTGTGTTGTTAGACACTCGAGTCATTGTCGGCAGATGCGAATAGGCGACTTCCAGGAAGCAGTTAAGGAGAAGGTGTGAGCACTGAAACAAGAAATTCATTGGCCTGCTGTTTCGGATTCTCACTCGAACACATTATGATAGCCGGTTGCAGATAAAGGTAGTGGAGGCACAACGACTACAGTATTTCCAGCACGTAGCTACTGTGGGGCCACATGCGTACTGTAATTAACAATTCTCGCGACCACAGCTGGGGTCCTAATTGAGGCAACGATGGCTCGTCGGTCCACGTCCGAGTCGCTAATTGTCGCAATTTCATCATCCGTGTTGGATATTGGTGTGATGATTACTCGGCCATTTTGTCCGTTGTTACTGGAATTGTTGCTCGCCTGCGCTCTCCCCACGTGACAGATTCCCCTGCTCAGGGAATGTCTCAGAACCGAATATGCCATCGGGCGGCAACTTGGGACAACGGTCCCTCTCCATTTGCGTATTTGTGAAACGAGTCTTCGAGCTGTCTGGCCCGTAAACTGCGAAGGGCATTTTTAGCACGGAAGCTGATTACTCCCTTGCGGCAAGATGTAAAGTTGACAATATTGCTCAAATCCACTGCTTAATTTTATGAACCCCATATGGTCTTCTCTTAATACCGTAGAGAAATGTATGGCTTTCCGTACAAGGAAAATATACGCTTTATAGTTTTGAAACCCTGAATGCGAGTGTAACAACAGGTGGAGTTCAAAAGTATTATGGAATTGGAAAGGTTTTTCAAAACTGAATGATACTCTTCTTTCGAGCATAAAGTCGGAAGAAGACGTGATTTTCTACCAAGTAAGTAGAAAACTGATGCATGTCTTCCATGAAATATAATTGAATCTTTAAGGACATCAAAAATAAACGAGAAAATTGCATGCTACATAAAAGTCATTTTTTTGCAGAGTATAGCTCTTGCATGCAGTCGACAATAAGTTCATTCAAAAGCTGACATTCTGAGGTAACCGGGTCATTATAGAATTAAGTTTCATGAAGATTAGTTTTACAACCCTACTGAATAAATCTTTTCGAAACGAGAACGCATTTCGGAATTTCGGTTGACATTTCATGAGTTAGCCCACCTACTGTACGGTTCAATTAAAAAGCGCATAGAAAATTTCTGGAAACCTGCGCCTTGGATTAGTAATTACTTTCCTCTGATACAGATGAAGAGCAATGTGCGCAGAAGTAGGACAGAACGCCGTCGCGTTCGTTTTTTAAGGTTACATATACGGAAACTGCTTAAGGCAATTATTTATTTGAAGAGACACTTAAGAATGAATGTATATATTTTCAGAATTTTGGCGCATGACATATATTTTCATGGGAACCGCTTGTTGCATTGCAATGCAATGAACTGCACCCGAACAAATGACTGCGTAAATGTCCAAAACCGCGCAATCGCAACGAGATCTCTGCACTGCTTGCTAGATAGGAAGGATAATTATCTAGAGCAATTTGACTACCTACACGGTTGATTAGACTAACTAGGGGAAAACGCCCCAAAGGCCGACGAATCAGTTTACGCTAACGTACAGGAAAATGGGAATTTTTTATGCGTCCTACTCTAGAGATTCAGCCTGCCGAAGTTACCAGCAGTCTGTTACGGTCATTTTCTCAGCCTAAATTGATGCTCAAATTGAGAGTCTTGCATTCGCTTCTCAAATGTAATTTCCAAGCTGTAATTGGAATTCAAGAATTCATGGAGCTTACGTAATGTCGGGGAGGTACTGCAGTTTCATCAAACAGGTTTGGAACATGCTCATTACACCATGACGTACAGTCGAAGTCTAGATTGAAAGGGGACAATCGCCTAACTACGGGCAATCAGCAGCGCAGAAGAAATGGTGACAAAGTAGGTAACTACATGTTTCCGTTAGACGATTGTTAACAGCCAGCCCAGACAAGCCAGAAAGGTCTGAGAATTGGACTCACTTCCGGATAGATGTGCCACATTTAAGTAAAATGCTGTATTCTTTGAGTTCTAAACACACCTTGGGGAGACCATAGAATCGGACCAAGGCCGTTTCTTGTGCTCTCGCCATGCGTCTGTCGGTCGGTGTTATTGCACCCGAGTTCTCCAGTGCCAACAAGGTCGCATTAATTTCGCGTGTCAGCGTCTTTACGGGGTTGGTTTCACATGGGACATAAAACTGGCGATCCTCCAGTAGGTTTTTGGCCTTCTGAAGGTAGTCTGTTCTGTCCAGTACGACTGCGGAACGCCCCTTGTCCGCGGGCACGATGACAATGTCCTTGTCGGCCTTGAGTTCTCTTAGTACATCGCGTTCGACCTTTGGAAGTATTTCGCGCGGCTTGTGAGTCATAAGGAGGGACGACACTTGGTGTCGGATAAGGTTCTTCGTCTCCTCTGCCGCTTCCGTCTGATTAATGACTGATTCTACTGCGGCAATCATGTTGAGAGGTTTGGCGTCAGCTGTGTTGAATGAGGCTTCGTGCAGTAACACCTGTACTTGCTCCTTCGTCAGTTCCTTTGAGGACAGGTTGTGTACCAGTGTGCTGCCTCTGGATGACGTTGGATCAGGCAGTTTGTGGAACTTGTTCCCCAGTGCTGCAATGAAACGGAGAATCGTCTCGGACATGCCCAGGTCCTTCAGCTCCTAAAGTTCTGTCTCAGGACGTGCTTCACGTTTGACGGAACAATCTACGAGCAAGTGAAGGGAACACCAATGTGCTCGCCGATCTCGGGATTCATCGCCGAGGCGGTCCTACAGCGGTTGGAGTCGCTGGTCTTTCAAAACCACAGACCGAAATTCTGGGCTCGGTATGTGGACGATACCTTCGTCGTCATCGAACGGGATCAGGTGCTAACGTTCAAAGAACGTCTCAACAGCGTCTTCCCGGACATACAATTCACGATGGAGGAGGAAGAGAATAACCAGCTGGCATTCCTTGATATCCTCGTCTGTCGCAAAGATTGTGGTGGCCTAAAGACCAAAGTGTTCAGAAAAGCAACGAACACGACGCAAATTCTGAACTTCAACAGTAACCACCCAATCTGCCACAAACGCAGTTGCGTAAGAACGCTATTTCGGCGTGTTGAAACGCATTGCAGTGAACCGGAAGACAAGGTTGCCGAATCCCAATATCTTCGACGGGTTTTCCGAGAAAACGGTTACCCGCGCAACTTCGTCAACCAGTGCTTGCGCAAACGAGACGAGCGACAAAATCGCGCCGACCCCAAATTCTGGCGAGCGATCCCGTACATCAAGAACGTCTCCGAGGCCGTTAGCCGCCTTCTTGCACCACTTGGGGTTGGAGTTGCGCACAGACCGGAGGCCACCATGAGGCGTCAAGTGATGAGACCAAAAGACCCACTGCCACGGCAAGAAACATCTGGAGTCGTTTACCGGATCTGGTGCAGTTGCGGACAAAGCAACTACGTCGGAGAAACTGGAAGACTGCTCCAGACGCGAATTGCTGAACACGTGGCAGCTGTACGGAGAAATGACGCCAACTCTCAGGTCGCGGCCCATTCGACGAGACCCGGCCACACATTCAAGTTCGATGAGGCCGAAATTCTCGCGAGAGGGGATAATCGTGTGAGCCGTGAGTTGCTTGAGTCATGGTTCACGAGACGTCAATCAATCAATAAGTGCAACGACATGCCCACTCCATACTGCGTGCTGAGGCATAGGCTGGCCAAGGTAATTGACCACTCGGGGCGCATGCAAGCCGGTGAGCCAGATGGCCGAGCAATCATCACGCCAGCATTCAACACAGGTGATGACATTTCGGCAAGTAACAACTTTCATGCCGGCCAGCAAGCAATTAGCGCACCAGCGGGCAACGATCCTTCATGAAGGGGAGCGCGGTAATTGCTATAGGTATGCGGTAGCATAGCAACTGCATCCTATAACTATTGCAACTTCCTGTGCAGGAGTCACCCTTTTCTGTTACTGTCTCTGATGATGGATTCAAGTGAGAATCCGAAACGTCAGGCGAATAAAGACCTTGTTCCTGCGATCGCTTCTTCTTCTGATCAACTAATTCCTGGAACTCGCATCTTCGCTTATATCGGTAATTTTAAATACCAGTAAGCGATGATTGAGATGCACCACTGAAAGGACATTCAATCCAGCCAAACTCATATCCAGCAGTTACGCTAAAGTTATTCCAGTTCCGTAGGCAAAGAATGCCTTGCCATTGCACGCCACTTCAAACTGGGTTTGCGAATTTACATGCACTTTGGGGGAACGGAAATGCAACTGGCAGCCAGGTCAGTTGTGCACCTGCCTAGATGGCTTTTAAAGCAGGAAAATAAAATTCATCGTTCTTCTATCGCGAAGCACCTTCTAGATGGCGATCACTCCGTTGACCCCCAAGCACCCTTCCGAATATTAGCTCAGGCACAAGCAACTCGGATATTGCGCTATTTGGCGGCAGCCTACATGCAGCGGGACAAAGTCGACCTATGCAAACAGTCGGACAACGTGATTAGTCTAAGCATGCCCTGATACATCTCGGTCATTTGATTTACACGCAACCTTAGTGTGTTAACTTTTATACTTTTCTACCTAAGTTGGACTATTAAGTTACCGTTTTCGTCAATTTGTCTATGTGCGGTAAACGGTAATCTTGCCATTCTGCACTGACTATTTCTGTGGAAATTCAAATTTCTGCATTTTTCTCATTTATTGTCTGTCTTATGCAGCGACAGGTTGCAGTCAATAAGCCGTCGTGAAACTTGTTGTCTCCAATAAATTCTGCTGCAAATGGCTGTTTCAAATTCATAGTGGGGAAATATTGCTTCGAATTTTACATGCAAAAAACCCCAGACTTCTTCCGTATGTACCCTTCCAAAGCTGCAGAGAAACCATCGGGGACGTCCAGTTTCAACGAGGCACCGGGACGGACGAAGCAGTCTTCTCTTAAAAATGATCCAACATCAGAATTCTTCCCCGGAGTCCGTGGGTAAAACACGTGAGTTGCAGACGCATTGTCCTACTAGGAAATTTTCTACACAACGTCAAGTTTTAGTGGCTTTGATTCTTGATATACCCGAAACGATTTTGGATTTTAACCAGACTTTACTCTCTTCCCTCCACTCAGACATTGCCAGAATACTCACAAACAGTCCCCCGAATGCCTTGTTTCTAAGGGGAGCCGGTGTCAACTCAACGGTTTGTGTGGTGTTTTCCTAGTGTAAACAGAAAAACCACGCAAACGTACTGCTACTTTTCATCCGGACAGACCGAGTTCTCCACGGCGTCTTCCTAAACTCTAACTTCAGTTAATAATCATGCCTACTCACGACTTACCGGACGAGATTTCTGTTTTTCGAGTACAACTGATTATAGAAGATTAAAAAATTCAGCCTCTCAAAAAATGACGTTGTCCCTGTTCCTTTTCGAATTGGCTGAGTGTTGTCATTTGGAACGCACATTTTCATTTAACAAATGATATCTTTTATGGCAGCCTTTCAGGTTACACCTATTTCTAGCACAGTGACGAACATAACTGCTACTTGATTTTACTTACTGACAAGACACAGCATCACGGATAATCTGCGACCGCGGGTTATTAACTCTGTTGTGCATAAATTCATGTTCGCTGAATATTATTTTGACAGGGATGTCACTTTGCAAGTTTTCGGGCTGTAACTAGTTAGACTGTTACGAAACCAGTAAAGTACACATCAAGGTACCACAGATTACATAGTTGCAGTTGTGACACCGTGCCCATGCTCCCAAGTTCACCAGCAGAACCATTACATTCTTGCACGGTCCGCACTAACTACACCTCTTCAAATCCACTGAAGATGACTACTCTAAAGCAGAGGATTTCTCCCTCCCGATATTTCTCCCGAAAGCGAAAATCATCACTCAGTAGTGTGCTTGTCTCCGCAGTGTTTGCTGCTATAGCTAAACTCCAGATCTTTGAAAGTAAATGAAAATAGAGAGTTCACATCACGCAGTCATTTCGACGGAGAGTATGTCTTAGAGCATCCGTCCTTTTGCTGTCAAAACGGTCAATCCACATGTATATCTTTTGAAGAGCGACCCGTGTTCCTGTACGCCCCTTTAGGATTTATCTACGGGCCAACATTAATTTTGAATGGCAAAAACTCTACTCTCCTCTTGTAATTACCATCAGCAAGCGTCACTGGTTTTCCGTTTGAATTAGGAGTTCAAAAGGCATTAGGAGTTGAGTGATGCCCCTCCTCTACCACAGAGAAAAAGAAAGAGAGAGTGCCTTCAAGCGAACAAAGGAACAGTTAACGGGCATCTGGGGAAAACTCCACGCGAAATGCTCAAAGTGGCTTTGATAGGCAGGCCTTATACGGGAAACACGGAAACTCAAGCTTCAGGAGCTTTTCCCGACCACTGTTGCATTTTTGAGAGTTTCTTTTCATGAATGTACTGTCATACAGAGTCGAGCTAATAAAAAGTAAAAAATAAGACAATGGAGGTGCTCCAATATATTTTCATATATTTATTTCAATATGCCGACCTATTGTCTACCGACTAGGACTGGGTTAGAAGTATGATTTGATGGAACATCATATCATTTTCGTCGGAAAACACACTGACTCTCCCGGTCTGCGGAAGCGTTGCAAAATTCAGTCTTCGCGAATATCTTCGACCGAGCTCAGATTTTAAAGCAGTAAACTATTATTTGGAAGAGAGTTATAAAACCGACCAAACAAAAGCCGTAACAGAGGGGAAGGAGGCCTTTAAATGGTGAAGTCAGGGAAAGCAGAAGTCTTCCACAGCATCAGATGCTGATCACACATTTTTGACTCTTGTATGCACAAACAGACTATGAGGCATACAATTCGCATACTGAAAGGATGAAAGTCATGTCGACCTCAGGTTCGGGACCTGAGTCGGAGGGTAGGAATAAGTCATAAAATAGTGCTGCGGTGTTGCAGCAAAATCAAGGCAATGACAGAAATGCGTGTGGCAGGCGCTAGGCGGAGACATCTGTCAAGTCAGCTGCTGCACCCTACTCCATCTTCAGTCACGTTGGCTCGGAGGACGTGGAAGACTGAGTAAGCACGGGTACAGTGCTGGCATTCCTTGTTACAAAACACCTGATATGCCGTCAAACTGTCACTTACCCCGAAAGTCCTGGCTTAGAAAGCTGTCGGTGAATGTGGTTATCCAGCCTTTGCATTTGGTTGAGGACCGGGGTCACAACGAACCATTTTAAACATGACCTTCACGGCGTCACCTAATGCTGAATTCTAGCAGGCATGCACGAGAGAATTAACATTTGCGTGTTGGGTAGCAATTTCAGCTCCTGTGCACACGGCAAATTGCAATCGTCGTGATTTTGTCTTTGCACTGTAGCATATTAGATGTGGGACTGGATTCTGAGGTAGAATCTGCGCAAGGCTCTGTCACGGAATCTCGCGCGTATGGTCGCAACGCCGGCAGAACTGTGACGATCCTCATCCAGTGCGATCGGAGAACCATAGGGAGTATAGGGAAAAGACTGCATATTTCCGTTCCATGAGGATACAGAGGCGGCAGGAGGCCTGTGAAACAGCAAATGGCATGGAATTTCAGTGGTTCAGAAAATTGAAAGTGTTCACAAAAGATAGAATAATCTCCTCATAAGTCTTAGTGTCGTAATTTATGGATGACGGTCCGCTGGACAGAAGCACCCTTTTATTTTGCCTATCACGAACTTTTAACTTAAGAAACGAACGACAATATCAGTAGCTAAATTTATTTCTGCTCAACTGTGTCAACTTGGCGGCCTCGCTGGGATGCGAACCCACGGCAGCAAGGGGAAGGTTTGAGTACGGCTACGTTCTAGCCACCTGAGCTACGAGCTGCCCCAGAACCATGAGTTTGATCGCATCTGGATCAATTTATCCGCTCAGCCAGATAAATACCGAGCTCACCTAATCCAAATATGACAAAAGTCACAGCTCCCTGTGGGGGGCTCATAGCTCAGGCAGCTAGAGCGTTGGCTGTACTCAGGCCTTCCTCTTGCTGTCATGGGTTCAACTCCCGCCCAGATCGTTGAGCTTTTTGCAGTTGGGTTAAAGTAAGTCACCCAAAATCTGTTAAAACACCTATTAGTAGCTAAATCATTCAGTCTATTACGTCTCACAACTCAACCGCAAGTTTCGGCATTGATTCCGATTAAGAACAGCTAACTTTTCGCACATATATTTCTTTGAATATACTCTCCATTAATTGGAAGGATTCAGAAAAGTCATTTACGGCGGGTGAAGTTTCTTTGAAAGCTTGACATTGTAACGTGGGTGGGACTTTCTTTGAACTCCAAATAGCCCCGTGGAATCTAACATTTTTTTTTCAACTCAAACTCTTTGGCACTCAACAAATGCGTATAAACGAGTAACAAACATAGCACGGTAAGATGGGACGTGGCAAGCGCAAAAATGAAAGAGCTTTAGAAATATTTTGCCTCAGATGTGAAGAGGTGTAGAACATTCAACATCCCACTCTTTGCGCCTTGTGTACGATTTATACCAGACAAACAAGGTATGAGCAGTTACTAATCTTAAATATGTCTTCCGATTTTAAATAGCCGGGTGATAAAGTAAAGAACATAAACTGTTAAAGTTAGTACAAAATTCACATGTAAAAAGTGATTTATAAGAAAATATCGTAACTTACGCTCTATTTTCTGTTTTTCGTGAGGATCAAGTTAGAGAAATTTATTTGATAATTTTTCAAAGTAAGGTCCCTTCTCAAACCCAACAGACGCGTTGAAAGGGAGCATGTATATTAATACCGGTTTTGACTCCCCATGGGGAAAGAATGATTTTCCGGTATACTCTTTCAAACAAGGAGTCCTGACATTGTTCTGGGCCACATAAATG